ATTCTGCAGCAGGACAACGACCCCAAACATACAGCCAATGTCATTAAGAACTATCTTAATGTAAAGAAGAACAAGGAGTCGTGGAAGTGATGGTTTTGCCCCCACAGAGCCCTGATCTCAACATCATCAATTCTGTCTGGGATTACATGAAGAGACAGAAGGATTTGAGGCAGCCTACATCCACAGGAGATCTGTGGCTAGTTCTCCAAAATGTTTGGAACAACCTACCTGCTGAGTTCCTTCAAAAACTCTGCAAGTATACCTAGAAGAATTGATGCTATTTTGAAGGCAAAAGGTGGTCACACCAAATATGATTTGATTTAGATTTCTCTACTGTTTGCTCATTTTGTAAACTGATAAACAATTACAATATATATTTTTGAAAGCATTCTTACTTTACAGCATTTTTTCATACCTGCCTAAAACTTTTGCACAGTATAGTATGTAGGCTGTATTCATATATGATTTAAGAATGAAACTGTTACATTAGCATCCCAATCCTAAATTCTGCCAGCACATCTCCTTGCAGTAATAGATCAACAACAAATGTATTATGAGTATGTACAATTACCGTCTAGTCTGGATTTCATATAAAGCACAAATAAATGAGCAACAGTGACACAATTATATAAATAGTGAACTTAGTTGTTTCAATATGGATATTTATGTAACTAAACATGCAACTATCATCACTATTATATTTGTGTTTGGTCAAGTATAAAAATACATAAGGTGGGTGGGGTCTTTCAAAGTGGACAGAGCATGCTCCACGTATCTGGAAGAAGACTGGTACCCTGAAAGGAATACTGGAGAGGGGGGGAGAGATGTAGATCTTACTTGTATAATCTACAATGTTAAGAAGTGGGCAAGAGCAAGGGTAAAGAGCACACAGGACATCTCAGTAAGAAGCTAATACCATATGAATGTTTGAATGATTTTATCTTTGCAATTGACAAGTCCAAAGCCAGTTGAGGATATGCATGATTTGGGGCTACAGTACTCAAACATTTGGTCAAATTAGTGGAGGATATGTAGAGTATATTCCAAAGCATGAAACCACAATTTTGACAATGTTAGCATTAAAAATGTACAGTATAGAATTCATTGGCATAATTATAAAAAAAATATTTAAGAAAAAAAGATACTTGGGCATGCTTAGGGACACCCACATAGCATCTGTCTGCAACTCCTCAAGCCATATGTATCTTTCCTAAAAGTGTGTGACTACCCTCCCTTATTTAAGCAATTGCAGATAAGGGTGTCCTCACTCCAAAGCGTATTTTTGCCTTCAAATCCAAAGCTCTGCATTGCCCTAGAACATTGTTAACATTCCAAGCCAAGCACTGTAGCAGATATATAAAGTAGGAATCAGGCCAGAACAAAAATGTGGCAAGATCACAGAACAATAGCTGAAGGTATATTCTCCACTTTTGATGTCCTTTCAGTAGGCATAACTATTTGTAGCTATATTGTATTAGGAGTAGGCAGCACTTTGACACCTTGGAGGCTGTCTACAGAGAGCCAAAATAAGATAGTTCCCTTATTTGATCTTTATAGTGTAACTGTAGGTTTCTTTGTACTGTACAGTTCCTTTCAATGGTAAATTTTCAGGCTCTAGTTGTGCTAACTACTTAGCTTACACAAATCATGCAAACTATTCACATCTACTCCAAAGGCCGCTGAGCTCTATGGTGCTTATTCCAAGATATGTGGATGTGAGATTAGAGCATAAAACTATCCTCTTTCTTTTGAAGCAGAGTTTGAAATGGTTATTCTTCTTAATAAGTAGGTTGAAGTTTGTAGCATTTAGCTTTCATAGATTAGAACAGCAAAGTTAGACTCAATACCTTGTAAAAGAGATTTCAATTCTACAGAAAAAATAAGACAAAAAAAGGAAATAGCTCTCCCTCTAGAAATATGTAACAGCAGTACCTCCAAATGGAATTCACATCTCTCTTCATAGGAGAAAGCAAAGAAAAATATGGCAGTCAATGAATAAATGAAGTTATAAATTAACTTTAGAAAATAAATTTGACACAATAAAACCCATGAACTGGAAGCACAAAGTACTCAAAATGGCTGGGTGCAACCTAAAGATGCATAACCTCATTCTTCAGACACCCAACACCTTTCTCTGCACTGTTTCTCAGAATGTGAAGCTGCCTTGACCCCGCCAAAGGAACTATTTAAAAAGTAGAAATGCTATGGATTTCAACTATGAAAATTTTGGAATGTGATTATTCTTGTTATAGTAGTCCTTTAGAAGTGATATTTAAAATACTAAAAGATGATGCTGTTAAAGTGCTGCACTCAATATGCCAGCAAGTTTGGAAAACGCAACAG